ATCAGCCCAGAGCCTGACGCGGGGCTCGAACTCACGGACTGCGAGATCGTGACCTGGCTGAAGTCGGACGCTTAACCGACTGCGCCACCCAGGCGCCCTATAAATGAAGTTTTTAAGTATCTTTGTGAAGTTTGCCTAACTTTCTAGGATGAGAGAAACAATCCTGATTTGTGCCTCCATCCATATGCACGACACGGAGACAGAAGAGGCTGTCCTTGTCCTCACGGCAGTCACCGTCTAGTGGGGTGGAGGGGTGAGTATCTCAGCTCTTAGCATGCTTTGTGAGGTTTGCAGAGGTCTAGGCATTAACGTGGCTATCTAGGAACCCAGAGGAGGAGGCAGGAGATGAGCCAGAAGTCAAGTAGGAAGGTAGATGTTCTAGGCTTTGTGACCCCAAGTCTGGTCCACAGACTTGCCACAGGTGCAATGTGTGAGCCCCACCCTGATCCAATTAAGGAATTGGAAAGCCTGGGGTGGTTCCCTGGAACCAGTGTTTGCATAGCTTGCACAAGGTCATTCTGGTGCTTGCTGAAGTCTGCGAACCACTGCTCTAGCTCCTGGCTGATGCAAATGTGATCACCAACCAGGAGCACTGACCTTGTCTGGGAGCTTTGGGAAATGCAGAGTCTCAGGCCCCACAGCAGAGTCCACATTTCACCATGGTCCCAGGTTACTGGAACCATCACCAAAGCAGGAGAAGCATGGCTGCTGGCACAGGGAGCCTCCCACGCGACGCCATGGGAGTATCATCATGCTGGGTGTGGCCCCTCGGGGGGCGGCCGAATGTTTCACCCTGGCTGGTGTGTAGGGAGCCACGAGGACATGGTGAACCATGGAGGGAAGGAGACATTAGGACAAGTCTAGGATGCTGCACTGTGTGTTATCCTGTGGGGAATTCCTGAAGACATTATGCAGAGAGATCACATTTGTATTTTAGAAAGATAACTCTGGGGGTGAGAGGGTGTCCTGGAGGAGGTGAGCTGGGGCAGATGGACCTGTTGGCAGATAAACACCCTGAGGCCTGATCCTGGGGTTTTTAATCTCAACACTACTGCTATTTTGGGCTGAGCAATTCTTTGTTGTGGGGCTGTCCTGTGCCTTGTGGGATGTTTAGCAGTATATCTGGGGTCTAGCCACTAGATGCAAGCAGACCCAAAATGTCCCCAGATGTTGCCAGATGTTCTCAGGGGAGGGGTGGGGAGGACAAAGTTGCCACTGGTTGGGAACCATAGTTGTAAAGATGAAAGGAGGGGGTGGTTGTGAAAAGGAGGGGTGTTTCAAGGTTGAGTCCAGAGACCCGGCTGTAGACAGACTGTCAGACAAAAGCCAGCATAAAATTATACTGAAACATTGGTGGCAGTTTGGAAATAGAGACACATTCAGAGTTCAAAGTCAGGTTGCATTTGAATGTTCGAGCTACATCTTTTAATATTTACTTGAATCTGAAGGCCTTGGTCTAATTAACCTAATGACAAGGTAGATTTTAACACAGATGTAACCAATTCATCAAAAAAAATTATATGGAGGGGCGTCAAGTGCTTAGGCCATTGCCGTCCGACTCTGCCAGGTCACCATCTCAGGTCTGGAGTTCGAAGCTCAAAGGCCGGGCTCTGGGCTGAGCTTTAGCTCAGAGCCTGGCCTGCCTCATCTGTGTCTCCTCTGCCTCCCTCCCATCTGGCACCTGGGTTCTCTCTGTCCCAAAAATAAATAAACGTTGAAAAATTTAAAAAAAAATTATATGGACAGTCTTATAATTATCGCACAAGAGGTAAAATAGAATAAAATGTTATAATTGCACAGCTGTTCACTATCAGAATTCAACCTGAAGGCTTCAGCTGTCTTTGACATTCATTGGGCAGAAACTCAGTCTAGGATGTGGACAATAGATCATGGGGCTTGCCCAGGGACGTCTCCCACCCCCAACCCCACCCCGAACTCCTCCCATTGAGACAGAAGTCTTAATAACCCAGTCCTTTCAGTCCACGATATGGGAAAGACTAACCTCTTCTAATTTACTTGCAAAGAGGAATGAGACAGACACAGAAGGATGTTACTTCTGCAACCCTCCCTTGTAGTGTGCCAGCCCCTTCCTTTCAATTTGAACTTTGCTAGACAGAGGCAAAATGTAGGCTGTGATTGATTCAGCAATGGTTTTAAAATATTGCATCTGGCTGCACGTAATCCCATTTAAGTGAAAGTCTCAATCTGGGCTGTCCCTGGGCACAGGGGTCATGTAGCATCTTCACTTAGCAATCTATTTAAACTGGTTTCTGCTTGTATCTTGAGCTTTTCCACACACCAGGGTGTTAAATGAGTACAGAACAATACACAGGGGTTGAATAAAGAAAAAATGTGGTGACTGGGGTAAACAGAAGGCCAAAGGGGAGAGAAAAACTATTCTTGCATACACAGCCAAACTGAAGTTGAATTTCCACATGGTGAAGTACTTTGCAGCCCTTGCCATGTATTATTTTGCTTGGGTTTAATTGCACTGGGGAGGATGATTCTATTAAGTTGGTAGGTTTTCAATCAGGGATGTCATGTACAGCTGCACAGGTCGTGCACTGCACAGTTTTAATATCTACATAGCCTGGGATGTGAATGGTGCTTCCTGAAATTTTAGTACTGAGGAGGTCTGGTTGAGAGCTACTGGCATAGTGGAGAAGGTAGGAACTCAGAAGTAGCTAGATATGGATTTAAATGATGGGTTTCTCACTTACTAGCTATATGGAATGAGTGAATTACTTAACATATCTGGTCTTTACTCCTCTCACCTGTAAAATGGGGTTGATAACAAAAATATTATTGTGTATGAATTTTTGTGAGAGTTAAATAAATTGATTCCATAACTCAGGTACTCTAAGCCCTTAGATGCTCAGTTTTCTGCCAGCCTCACTGAGATGCAGATGTTTTCTGGAACATCCCCTTCAACAATACTTAACCTCCCCCCAGTCTAACAGACTGCGCTGAAATGACATGCAACCTACTGTGTGCTGCTTTCTGCATCCTAGCTGGGTCTGCAGGTATGTCAGCCATCACAGTGGAATTAATTGCAGCCAATATCATCTGAGCAGTAATTCAGAGACACTTATTTGCATTTTCTGATTCCTTTTTCCTTGATCGCTTAAGTCCAGAGGGTAAATACATTGGAAGAGGTTTTTGAGGAGTTTCGTATTGTTGTTGGGTGAAAAAAAAAAACCAAAACTTTTTTTTTTGGCTTTTCACAAGGAATTACTGGAATCCTGCTCCATGGATTTATGCTTGCAACTCTGATGACAGAAATGAAAAATTGTAAAATCCTAATTAGCCTTTGAGCTAATGCCAAGGCAGTTTTTGCTAGTGAAGTTAACAACGCTGGGAGAGTAAGTTTCTAGAGGCATGTTGAGAAGAAGGAAAGAAGAACTGTATTGTTCTCTAGTTTTGTTTAGAGTTCTGAAGGTGGTCAAGGGTTTCATGTGGTGTTTCAATTTCTTGTTCAATGGCTTAAGCAGATTAGCTAAACTGGCTGCTGTTAGCCTTTAATTACTCACTGAATTAAATAATGATTGGCAACACAGACATTGTGATTGATTAGTTGATTGTGTAGAAATGCCCGAATAGTGCCATTCACCACGTCTCAGCCTTACATCAAAACCCATCTGCCCCCCATGAGCAGGGTTGCCAGATGAAATATTGCACTGAACATACTTACACTAAAAGTTATTCACTGTTTATCTGAAATTCAAATTTAACTGAGCATCCCCTATTTTTATTTGCTAGATCTGGCAAGGCGAGCCGTAAGGGCTTTTCCTCCTCCTTATTTCTGTGTTGCCAAATCAATACCACCTGAGATGTATCGCATCAGGGTGAGTGGCGAGCAAGGTGACGAGACAGAAGCCAAGGACGAGGGCCGGGCAGTGCCTTCTCATCTCTGATGAATGCTTCCTTATTGCCGGGACCTTCAGCCTCGAGGGAAACCTGGTTCTTTAAAGGTTTTCTTTTCTGCTTCCTTTTTGCGTTGGGGCTGATTTGCATTTAGGGCCTAAGTCCCATACTTGACTCCATGATAAATGATTTAAACTAAACATGGTATTGATTAAGTGCTTGGTAAGTTCCAGGCGTGCCACACATCAGCTCTGTTGGTTCTCACACCTATGCTTTGAGAAAGGAACGATGCTGCTGTCTCTATCTTGCTGACAGGAAAACCGAGGCTCAGCTCAAGGGCAAGTATTTAGGAAGTGGAGGGGCAGGAGGATACAGCCTCCTCCAAAATGGTCTACTGGAGAGCAGCACTCCTCAACTGTGAGTCCCAGAGGACTTTTGGCAAATGCAGGAGACAGTTTTGGTTGTCATGACTGGGGAAGGGCGTCATGGCTGCTGGCGTCTAGTGGGTGGGGGGCAGGGATGCTGCTGTGATGTGCAGGAGGGTGCCCACAACAAAGGCGTAACTAGCCCCAATGTCCAGAGTGCCCAGATTGAGAAACACTACTGCGGAAAAAGGGGGGAGGGGCTCACCTTCCTACCTCAACCTCACTGCAACAATGGTGGGAGCGGGCTTGGATCTGGAGTAGCCCCTGGTCTTTGGGGCACGCGAGCAGGGGTGGGGGAAGACCGATGCGTCAAGGAGAACAGAGGCACTCTCCTCAGTTGCTTACCAGAGCTGGGGACTTCTTGACAATCTGTCTCGCCTTCTCTAGTGTAAATTTCCATGGCTCCTACAAAAACAAAGTTAGACAACATTATGGCTTGTGTCTCATCTTTCCTTTCTATGTCTTTTCCAAAGTTAGGATCTTTAAAGTCTGTAAGTTTGCAGTGAAGAGATTATCCCGTACATTTGTGATAAAATAATTCACAAGAAGGCAATTTCATGCTAATAACCATCTTTATTAAGGGATTTGCTCTGTGCCAGATGCCGTGCTAAGTACTTTGCAAACACGGTCTTATTTAATTTCACAACAGCTCTGAGAGAGATGACCTTTTTATAGATGAGGAAATTGAGAAGCAGAAAAGCTAAGAAACTGGCTGATGATCGCAGCGCCAGTGTCTGGAGAGACATAGTCTGAACCTCTGCCTGCTGAGCTACTGATGTCTCTAAGTAACCGATCCTTGGGTCCGGAGGCGCCACGGCAGGAGGTGGCCAACGGTGAACCTGCGTAATGCAAGGTAACACCCCCGTCTCTTGTTCACCTCCTCTTCCAGTTCAACATCCCTGTTTTTTCACCATTTCTAGAGCATCCAAGTGCATCTTCTTAGTTTACATTGCAAGTATAAAGAGTTTGCTAACTGTGACCAGTAACAGTTGTTATAGAATTCCATTTTTGTAGACTTGTGGGCAGTCTGGGGGATAAGTAGCCCTGGGGGTGAGGGGTGGGGGGGGG